TTATGTTTGTTTTTTTTTTTCTTAAACTGAAATTCAATAGGAGAGAGATTGTTCTTTTAATATTCTCTAAGATATTTGACTATCATGGTTTATAATTTTCTATAAAATCCTTGATAACATTTTCATAAGAGCATTACTTGCTTTATAGCATGTCAAACAAAGAAACTCATTAGATGACATAAAGAAATGGCACTGGCAATAGAGGCTGATGAAAAGCCAGGAGGTATCATTAGCGCGAAACCAAATCAACACAGCTTAGGAAAAAGTAACCGAGAGGACAACAGGATAAACTTGCTATAAATACTTTAATAGCACAGCAGAGCTATTAAAAGGTTATGATTTAAGATGATTCACAAAACAAACCAGTGAACCAAAAGGAAACTCCTTCCAAACACTGGAAGAAATCCGCTAAAGACACAGTCAACCTAACTGGATAATCATCTCAGCACGAAAGAGGTGCCGAGTTTATTTAGATTCAGGTAGAGATCCTCTGGCGCATCCCATTTCATCCTTGTAGAGGAATCGGGGCAGTTTTCCAAAGCAGAAACACGCTGATAACTTCACCCCTGAGTCACCTTCGCCAAACTCCTCCAGGCATGCAGGTCTGACCTCCATGAGTTTTGCTCACCCTGGAACGAAATCGCCGCTTCCACCTTGGGAAATGCCACGCGGCAGATGGCAAACGGGCAACCTCCTCCCAGCAGAAGACGACAAACATGAAGATTAAACTGTTTAAATAACGTTTTGGCCCTTAGGGCTTTTGGTCCCCATACAGCTGACTGTATATTTTTCAGATTGGTAGATGCTATTGCTATGGGATGGAACAAAGTTGTTAATTGTTCTCAATTCAGAGAAAGTGCCATCTTAGATGATGCAAGACGCCTTGCCTGCTTATGTAAAAGCCTCGATTTCCACCCCATGCCAAGAACCTACCCTTGCCTCTTTTTGAAAGCCATAGCAGATCAATAAGCAGCTGGTAATAACAAGGACCAGTCCTGATGCACACAATACGAAGGTTTGCAAAAGCCAAAATCCCTCAGAAGAAAAATGTCCCAAGGGAACGCACGATATTATTATTGTATGAAGAACACACTTATTGATTAAGCAGTATTTCTTCAACTATGAAATGCAAAACCAGCAAGATGCAGACTGCAAACCAATCATATGAGTTTTATCTCACTGTAATTTTTATGATTGCTGTCCCTTAGAATACTTCGTCTGTGTCATATATCGCCACGTTAACTGTAATTCTTATGATTGCTGTCCCTTAGAATACTTTGTCTGTGTCTTATATTGCCACGTTTATATATGTCTTTTCTTATTTACTTTCATGAGGCTCACACTGAAAGGAAATATGATTTATACTGAAAATTACTGGACTGTCCTGAATTTTGCACAGAGGTTTTGAACTGTAATCTATGCTTCTTGCAGGATTAACCTACTCTTCCTTCCCCCCGTAACTGCCCCCAAAAAACCACCTGGCAAGACACAGTGTGTTGCACATGTAACTGTAGTCAGAGGATTTTGCAGATGGCAAGCAGGACAGCTGTATTTTGTTATCAACGCATTTTTACGGCCCTTTTCCTAAGGGATTTGCTTTAGAGTCCACAGAAATAAATGATTTACCAATGCAGCAAAAGATTGAGGAAACTGCTCTGATAGCGGCTCGGTGCTGTAAAACCCTGAAGTTTATGGAGGCTCAGGTGGCCCCTCAGCTCTTTTAAAACTTTTTTTGGCAGGGCTATTGGTGCAGAACTACATTTCTGAACAGGCAGCTGGCTTGTCAACCCCTTGTTAAAATGAATTGTTCTTTAAAGGCCCCATCAAGAAAATCCTTGCTTTATAACTCCGTTTGCAAAGCCAACCACCAAGTAAAGCTGCTGTCACTTCGCAAATCAAAAGCAAATCCCTCCCAGGTACAGCGCGAGTTGGAGCAAACGCCCCGTGTGCCGGACTGCTCTGTCAAACCACTTTGCTGGTGAACCTCCAGTCTCGGTCTGCAATTCGTGGTGTTTTGAACAGCATGAGTAGCTTTAGGAGCAGCGAGTCGGTGATTTTTATTTATTTATTTATTTCTGTTCCCCTGTGCGGCCTGCTAGGCACTGCGCGACTACGGAGGGCACAAACCTGCTCACAAAGAGCTTACGCTGCTCTCACGAGTAACGAAGAGTATCTGCTAACGATTAAAGGAGAACCGGCTCATCTAGTGCTGGAGTCTGAAGGGCTCATCAGCTGATTGAAATCAGAGTTTAACCACATCACTCACAATCCCACCCCCATCAAAGGCTAACCACATCGCTCACGGTCCCACTCTGGGGCTCCTCACCGGGTGGCTGGACGCCCGAGGGGAGGTAGCCGAGATGTTCAGACCAGTTTTCAATTATGATATTTAGCAGGGGAGCACCAGGGCTGGTGGGGTACGGCGGGAGAGAGGGGAGGAGGGAAGCTGCTAGGAGGCGGGCAGGGGAGGCGCATTGCTACCTTACAGGCCAGGGGAGGCCGGACAGGGGGATCCCCAAGAAGGGGAAGAGCAGCAGGGAGCCCGTGAGGAGACGGGAGGCTGAGGGGGAGGCGGGCGGGCTGCAGGGGGAGGAGGCCCGCCTAGGGGAGCGCGGCTGCGAAGGTGGGACCCGGCGAGCCGAGC